GTAGTAACATTATTACAAATAATTCATTAATCGATAATAATTTATCTAGATCCTCCTAACTGCTTTAAAATGTTTTCACTGAAACTGAAATTAATACAAACAGTCTATCAGTTACTAATGTAATACCAGTCACTGATACAAGAGCTTTTCCTGATATACAGTTCACATGTAATGGTATTATTACTAACTGGATAATTGGTATTACACAGAATCAGGATACAAGCAAACATTATCCTAACATTTATTTAAAACGTTCTTCTGAACTGATTCATGCACTAACTGTTGATGCTTCTGCTGCTACATCAAGTAATGGTAATGTATATAACTTTACAAGTGATATTGAAGTAGAGTATGGAGATATATTAGTAATCAATGTAACCACTAATAGTAATCCAATGTATTATCAACAATACAATGGACCATTGAATTATGAGCTTGATAGCAGTAATGGATTAATACCAATGGAGCATAATGACTATCCACTGATATCAGTTATGATAAGTGAGTTTTTTTATTTCAATATGTTTGATGTTTGATTTCATTACTTTATATTTTTAGAACAAATTCCTTCAGTTACTGAATTTTCATCTACTACAATAAGAATGCTGCCTGACCACTTAGCCAGTTTACATTACACTACCTTATCAAGCACTACCAATACCTTATTAAGCAGTGTACCCTCATCAAGTAGCTTAATCGTGACCACTACTCCCTCTCCGACTCTCTCTACTACTGAGTCAATAACTACACCATTGTCTAATATTAAATGCAGTCATCCTGTACTGTCAAAAGGAAGTATCAGTACAACAGAAGTCACTCGTACACAAAACACTGTATCACAACGCAGTCCTACCAGTGAAGTATTAGTCACTTCAAGTAGCAGTGCTGTTACTACTACCTCACTGAACACTACATCAATGGAAAGTACACCTGATCAAAGTACAGGGAGTCTAATATTAGCAGGAAGTATTAGTACAGCAGTATTTATATTACTGGTAGTTACTATACTAGTAATATTAATAGTGAGTGTATTAGCGTGTAGGAGAAAACAGTTAGGTACTGGCAATACTAAAAGTAATAACGAAAGTATAGCAGAGGAACATAAACAAGGTAACTTAAATAACAAACATCAATAATTTACTGTTATCATAATAGATGAGAAACAGAACGTTTTATCCAATATATCTGTTAATGCTGCTTATGGTGTTATTGGTGGAAATGAAAGTGAGATAGATTGTTATACTTGAAAGAGTAATTTTAACCAATTTTTACATAATTGAAATAGATGATGTTTATAGTAATCCTGCTTATGGAATCAACACTGTAATGACACAAAGTAAAATAATAAAAACTAATTTTATAATTTTGATAAAATTATAGGTATTAATGAAGAACTATTGGTGTATGATGAACCATTAGTGTACGGTAAACCAAGAACAATGAATAATAAACAAGAGGTAACATTGCAATTATACTGTAAATTATGTAGCCACAGCTAATTTCAATTTCATTATTTAAATTAACATTAAAAGTCTTAGTCATCACAGTGCATTTATCAACATTGTATCAACTGTATTTTTATTGGCAGGTTATTGTAATGCCAGCACATAATGAAGCATATACACAACAGAGAGAAGAAGAAGAGTTGTGTATCTAACATATGAACAAAATTAATCACCTCAGCACATCCATGAATTGTACTAAAATATTATTGTAAAAGTGATTGTGTTGTTAAAATAATTAGACAGTACAAAAAATCAAATTTGCTATTTTATAAATATTCTTTTTTCTCCTTTGGTTCATTTATAGTTCCTTAGTTGTTCTTCAAAACCACAATTACTATGACTTTCTCTTTAAATCAAACAAGTATGTTCATGGGCTCCTGATAAGATCTATCAGTCATTGCATGATTTTAGACACAACACTAGTAAAATTAGGTGTGGTAAATCTAGTCTAACCATATAGTCTCGCTTCCCAAAATGACTGTATTGATATAATTTATAAACATCAATTGAAGTTCTGCTTGATTAAATACATGTACAATGTGGACTGAAAAATGATATCAAATTTAGTAGTCATACTAAATAGTCATAAGAATAATGCTGTTGCTATTAGGCATAGCTATATAGTAACAAACTCAGAGCTGCTAACTTGTGTGGTTTTTAGTTGTATTAGTGGCCCATTTTCAAACTCAGTAGCCACTTCATAAAATGAATAGCAATGTACTAATGTATGTGAATGAATGTCTAGAAGCATGTCATATGAATGAGATTATTATTGCAGTCTTCATGTGACGAATACTAAAGATTGGAACTTTTATATATGGACAGTAGTCAATCAAATTTCCTAAATTTTTAAATTCAAAAAATGCAGTTGGAATTAGCTCAAATTTTGTATAATTTCTGTAGAACATAATCTGGCTAATTATTGCTGGTCTGGCCTAGAACATCCAACCATTCAGTCCTTCATTTAAATGGTAGTACCACTTACATGATGGAATGGTTCATTGTTGTAGGCCAGTTAATATGCATGATCTAATTTGTCTCCAACATGATGGGTTGAGCTGAGTGTGGGTGCAACAATGCATATTGTAACTGAATAAAGCTATGCTAATAGAATATTCATGATCAAATCCTATGCTGTGGCAAAGAAACAAGAAATGACCTTTTCCTTGGCTCATTCATTTTTTGTTCTTATCCTGTTATTATTGGTTGCTAGTAATGAAGGAGCAACAGGAGGAGGAGTATGTACTGAAGGATTCATGGACTTGAGTCTACTAGTAGCTAAAGCAGCTACACCAGTTGGTTCACTAGCTGATAATACTTTAGCTGACAGCAATGAAGGAAGATGGGTCATTAATGGTAATACATTCAATTGCACTTCTGCTGCTGCAACAGAAGTTCTTTTTGGAGTTGATATCAGATCAAAGGATGGTAATAGGAACAAGTATCCTAGCATTGAGATATGGCAAGCAATACAATGGAATGGTGACTCTTATTACAGTAAACGTGATTCTATTCCTATTATACTGTCTCCTGATAATGTCACTACTAATGGATTATATCGTTTCATTCTTCCTACTCCTTTTAGTGTCAGTGGCAGTAATTATAATACTTACAGACTAGGAGTGTATCAACCTGAAGATGATTCAGGTGTGGTTAGATTATACAATGCAACCACTAGCAGCACAGAAACAGTTGGAGTAATAAGAGCAGACTCCATTAGTGAATCAAATATCAGAACATCTGGTCTGGGTAGAGAAATTGATTTTTATACTGGTATAACAAATATTTTTATGGTACATCTCAAAACAGGTAGGTAGCTGCATCTTATTTATAATAAAAACAATTCTTTTTATTCTTATAGATCCCCCGAACTGCTTTGAGAATATTTTCACTGAAACTGAAATTAATACAAACAGTCTATCAGTTACTAATGTAATACCAGTCACTGATACAAGAGCTTTTCCTGATATACAGTTCACATGTAATGGTATTATTACTAACTGGATAATTGGTATTACACAGAATCAGGATACAAGCAAACATTATCCTAACATTTATTTAAAACGTTCTTCTCAACTGATTCATGCACTAACTGTTGATGCTTCTGCTGCTACATCAAGTAATGGTAATGTATATAACTTTACAAGTGATATTGAAGTACAGTATGGAGATATATTAGTAATCAATGTACCCACTAATAGTAATCCAATGTATTATCAACAATACAATGGACCATTGAATTATGAGCTTGATAGCAGTAATGGATTAATACCATTGGAACATAATGACTATCCACTGATATCAGTTGTAGTAGGTAAGTCACTAGGATTTGTACTGAATATTGTTTAAAAATTGTATTTGTATTTTTTTAGAGCCATTAACTGCTTTCATTATGACTTCTACTCTTTCTTCCACTCCTACAAATATAATAGAGTACATTATCAATGATCGTACACCATCAATTTTCGGACACTTGTTTTAGGAAAACTATACATTGCCATCTCATGAAACTGCAAAGTAT